TGATATTCACAAATATTCAATGGGTGCAAAAGAGCATTGATTCACCGTTAGCTCTGATAGAGGAGAAGGAGGAGGAGGAATGACAAAATGGCAGTCAAGAAGAACAGTTCCTAGAATTGTGTGACTTATTTAACCCAATGATATTAGCCACAACAAGCAGTGCACTTCTGGGCAGACCAACCAACCAACCAACCTCCGTCTCCCACTGCTGTGAATTCCACAATCCGGGAACACGCTGTGTGCAAGAGTATCTCCTTTTATTTGTTCTAAATTTACCAACTATTTCCTAGCATTTCCAACTGGGCAAGGCAGAAAGGACACCAAAAACAACCTCCAGATGGTCTTCAAGGACAACCTAATGTCAGGAGGATAAAAGCATCCATGAGAAATGTCCCCAAGGGATTCTGGCAACCAGAGAAGGAGAAGCCATCTTGCATAGGAAGCTCCCATACCTGAAATTGGTCATGGTTGCAACCAGAGCTGGCTCAGTATTTGCTATACTTCTCACTCTTAGCTTGTGTGTGACGGTCCCAATCGAGCAGCAATGATAACGCACCTCTCCTGGGATAATGACTATTGTACAATTCAATGACACAACTGTGTTAGTCTGGAAAATCAATATGCGAAGGGATCTTGTAGCACCTTTGAGACTAACTGAAAGAAAGAAGTTGGCAACATGAGCTTTCCTAGAATTGGTTCTACTTCTTCAGATGCATGTTGTAGCAATAAACTACACAATTGTATGTAGGTTGACAATGTCGCAAATTCCCAAAAGGATCCCAGCCAATATTTTTGAATGTAACGTTTCCCATGGATTATTGTTGTTTTGCATATTGGGCAATTTGTTGTTGTGCCTTCTGTTTATACCTGGGCATTTTATGTATTATTCTATAATGTTGTGCCCTCATCACCCAGAGCTCTCTTCTGGATGAATTGTAGGTGATCTATATATTTCTTGCTTAAATACATAGGGTGGTAAGTTTTTGAAGGGCTTGTTGGGGGAATGAGGGATATTTCAAGAAAGAGGGTGAATCTGCATTGTGGAAATAATGAAGTTTGACACCACTTTAATGGTCATGGCTCCATCCTACAGATTCCTGTGATCTGTTATTTATGTAAGACACCAGCACTCTTTGGCAGAGAAGACTAAATACTGTACCTTGTAAAATTACAAACCCCAGGATTAAATAGAATGGAGCTACATCACTTAAAGTGGTGTCAAACTGCATTATTTCTACAGTGGAAATGAACCCAGAACCATGAATATGCAAGTAAAATCAAAATGGAAAGAACGGAAAAGTGTTGATACTTCCAGACCTTTCTGCATAAATCCTCAGTCTCAAAATGGAGATTTGCAGACTGAGAGTTAATCCTTGCAAGTTGTTGCAAGTGCTGCTAAGAATTTACAGGTAGCAATGCATTCTGGAAAAGAAACTATAGGTAATTTTTACATTATGTGCATTTGCCCATGGACACTCCCAGATTTCTGGTTTAGTACAAAATAATAATAGATTTAGTAAACATATAGAGTGTTTAAGACCACTGGCATGGTATTGTAGTGAAATAGAAAAAAAATAAGTTTATTGTTCAGAAGAATCACATGGCAGTCACACATAAAACAAGAATTTGAAAAACTGGCTTTAAAAGAAGGCTTTATCTCAGGGGGGTAAAATAGACACGGCTGATGTATATTTGCATTTTTTTTTAATTATCAACCACTTTTCTAAGCCTAAAATGGTCTTACAGGGCCCATAAACATAGTTAAAATGCCCCATTTGAGGATATATATATTTTCCACTTAAGAGCCCTGAAGACCGTTCTTTGCCATCCCAGTCTAGATGTTTCAGGATGCTTTTCCACACATCTTCCCTCCGGTTGATCATTTTGAACCCAGAATGCCAAAGGAGATCAGCCTTTGGTGGGATGCAGGAGGGCTTTTCTGATGTTCTTACAAATCCCTGGTTCCATGTTTGGAGGAAGGTTTTGCAGTGAAACACTGGCAATGTCCACTACGGAGGAAGCAAATGTACCTTGTCTTTCAGGACTGGTATCCTATTTACCTTGTATGCAGGACCAATGGATGACAAACTCTTTCCCAGAGGCTGCTGGTAACAGTCTTGATGGGACATCCATCTGGACATCCTTTTTTTGGGCTCCAGTCTCACACTGGCCTGTCCAGATTATACTGGCTGGAGCCAGGGCTGATGGATGGATTTGGCGGAGCAGTGTAGGCAAGGGGAGGCTGCATCTGCTTTGCCCTCAGTCGCAAACTGCCCAGGCTGGCATTGCAGGGGTCCCTGTACATGTATGGCGAAGAAGCACCTGGTCCGTAGGTTGAACTAGGAAGCCCAGCTGGGCTTGTCAGGCTGTTGAAGTTCTCCAGAGATGGGACACTGGATGTGGAGGCTCCTCCAGTGGCAGGGAACACACTCTGGGGAGGAAAGGTGGAATTGAGGTTCATGGAGTTGAAGAGATGGAAACCTTTGCCATGGATGGGATTGGCATGGAGCCCCTTGGGACCCCAGGTACTGTAGGCGTAGCTTGGATAGAGGTCCTCATATGGGTTCCCGGAGAAGCCATTGAGCTGCGATCCGAAGCCCCCTTTGCAAAGCTCGGACTGCTGGTGACGCTCCTTCTTACGCCATTTGGCTCTCCGATTCTTAAACCAGACCTTGAGAAAAAGAGAGAGAGAAAAGGAAAAAGAACTTACTCTCTGATGTGGCGGTTTGTAACAATTCAACAGGTGACTGAATGTGAGGTTGCTTCAGGTAAAGAACATCTTCCTCTGCTGTGATGCTCTGCAAAAAACTAACTAAACTCTTACATGTCACAGTGTAGCGCAGTGGTTCCCAAACTTTGGTCCTCCAGGTGTTTTGGATTTCAGCTCCAAGAAATCCTTCCCAGCTTGGTCAATAGTCAGGAATTCTAGAAGAGGACCAAAGTTTGGGAATCACTGGTGTAGCGTAATACTGCTGCATGTAGAGTTGCCAGTTCAGGATCATCCCAGGTTCTGAGGTTTCCGA